CGGGGCTGCACGCGTCCGGCATCCCGGGGCCGCTCCGGCCCGGGCGGCGAGGGGGCCCGGCGGTCCATGCATCCGCCGCCGCTCGCCGCCGCGATGGATTTCAGTCAGAACAGCCTGTTCGGCTACATGGAGGACCTGCAGGAGCTCACCATCATCGAGAGGCCGGTCCGCCGGAGCCTCAAGGTGCGCCCCGGGGAGGAGGAGCTGCCCGCAGGCGCCCGGCGGCCTGCCCGGGCCCCTACCCCCTCCCATGCCCTCCCCGAGGCGGCCCGGACCCCCTCAGAGTCGGGCTGGCCCCTCAGTCCTCCTCCAGTGCCCGGTCGGCGTGTCACCCTAAACCGGCTCCTCTCGGGGCCCCGTCTTCGACGCGGCGCCGGTTCTCCCGGGCTGGACCCTCTCCCCTGACCCGGGGCCAGCCCCGCAGCCCCTCGGACGCCCTCGGCTCCCTAGTCGCCGGGCGCCTTCCCCAGCCCGCCCCCAGGAACGGCCGGCCCAGTGCCCCCCCGCGCCGCCCCGCCGGACGGCCGTGGCCCGTCTTTCTCCCGCCCCTGCAGGAGCTGCCCCGCAGCCGCAGCCCCGTATCCCGGGTCTTCGCCTCCCCCCATCCCCTTGGCCCCCTGGTGCTGCCCGGGTTCTGGCCCCCGTCCCACTCCTCGGTCAGCAGGGCGCCGACTCCTCCCCGCTCTCCCCGAGACACCCCAGATCCCCTCCCCCCATGAGAGCAAGCCCGGGTGCCCCTGCCCTCAAGTCAGCCCCGGCCTCCCTTCCCCTCCCAACCAGCACCCGTGCTAGAGTCGTCCTGCTGCCGATCTTCAAAGCCCGCTCGACCCTTTCCCCCATCCTGAGTCACCGCACGTCCTCTCCTCCCTGCCCCTCCGGGACTCTGGCTGGGACCCTGCTCCCCACCCCCCTGGAGCGAGTCAGCCTTCACCAGCTCCCCCACCCCGCAGAGTCATCTTCCTCCCAGCCTCCCAGAGGCTCCAGCCCTCAGCGCTGGCAAACCTAGTTTGCGGACCCCCCAGCCATCCTCTTAGTAGCTCCTTGAGCTCTTCTCGCTCCCACCTGCCGCAATATCTCGAATCTTTGATTTCCTTCCAGCCCCAGAGTTTATTCCCTTCCCTCTCCCTACTCCAGATTTCGCCTTTTTCGTTCCCACTGGGCTGCATCTTCATCCATCCCCCCTTTTAGCATGTCCTGGAGTGGAAAATGCTGGAGCCTTGGGGTATAAGAGATAAAAAGCATGTATATATTTTATATATGCATATAAAATTGATTTCGGCAATATTCTGAAGCCACAATTGTGATTCTCAAGCTTCACTCTAGAAGCTAGAAGAGTAAAAAAAGAAAAAAAAAAATCCAGACCCCCAAAACTCTACCACCCAAACCCGACGATTAGAGACCTCTGTGGTTGAAGTCGCCTAGAGTCCTCAGACCCGTGGTTACTTTTCAATGATAATGCTTAATTGTGAAACTTCATTAGTCTAGACTCATACAGGGTCCCTGATGGATATTTATGTGCATGATTTGTGTTTTACACTTGACAGACACCAGAAGAAATAGAAAGACTGACAGTTGATGAAGACCTCAGTGATATTGAAAGGGCTGTGTATCTGCTCAGGTATTTCCTGAAGTCTTTCTGTGAAATTGCTGCTCTTTCTCTGTGGCAGCATCCATGAATGCTTTCTGAAATGTCATGTTATGGTTATGTTCAAATTTCCTTAACCACTTGAACAGAGTACTTTTGTCTGTGTAGCACTTAATTATGTTATAAATTAAGAATTAGACATAGACTTATAAATTTGAGAACCGAAATCAAATAACATACCTAACTTATAGAAGATTGCTTGGAGGAGGAGGAACAACAATTAATGTTTTGAGTTGAATCTCATTCTTTTTTTAAATTTTCCAGCTTTGGTTGTTCTCCTATAATATCCAATAAGTTTAGATGAGACTTAAGAATATACAGTGATTAATTGTAAGTTAATTGTAGTGTATGAACCTTACATGCTATTTACTATATAGAAAAAGAAATCCACAAAGATGGTAGTTCAATTTGTTGTTCAGGATGTCCTGTTTATATTACTTTTGCAATGTGAGCTTTATAATTTTGCCTGAGCGATTTTAAAATTTCGTTGAGCCTACTCTGATTTATCGTATCACAAGCTCTATAGAATTGCTTAAGGCAAATGGTTATTGCAAATATTTACAAGATTTCTCTCAACTATTTGAAAAATTGTGTTGTGGATTTATCTTCTTAAAAGCTAATGTGGTGAACATTAAGGAACATATCTATGAAAATACTTAAGAAACAGAAATTCTCCTAAGGCATTTCGTGTACATTGGTTTTACAATTTTTCTTTAACTTGCATGTTTTTTCCCCTTTAGCAAGTTAGTTTTTACTTTGGTTCTCAGAATCAGATTTTGAAAACTGGTGTTATTTCCCTCCTGGGATGTTTGTCATCTCTCTATTTCCTTAGCTCAAGTCTGCTTTGCCAGTTTCAGTTGCTGGCAAGTTTCTTGTTCTCCTTTCTTGTTTTATAGATCATGTTTCCAGTCCCCTGTTATTCATTGAATGATCCTGCGGAAAAAAAAATCTCCTCTCCGTGACTTCCATTTTCTTAATTATTCTGTAGCCTCTTAGTGGCATCTTCGGTTCTGTTATTATTTGAGTCAGAATTTTAGCATTCTTGCAATTTGGACCATTCTCTCCAGTAATTCTACCACTTGAAAATGTTTCTGGATCTTAGACTTTATGTTGATGTCATTTCCCCTCCTCTTTTGGTAATCTATGGTAGCATGCTCTCATCATTTCTACCTATTTATTTAAAAGAAAAACTATCTTATTTATGTGTAAATTAACAGTATGTTAATTTTGGTGTTTGCATAGAGAATAATCTAAGGTTTAACCTATTTTGACATTTTATTGTGTTATGTTTGAAGTACTTATTTCTCAATAATTAACATGTCCAGCATGGTGAACAATAATTGTAAACATCTGCCTTTTCCCATAGTTCTTTTGTTTGGAGTAGGTAGACAATTGATGCAAGTTTGGATAAGTTTCTTGTAACATACAGTAGTTAATGATTTGAAATAAGTTCCTGCTTTACTCCTGCTGCATTCTCTTGGGTATAAACGCTGGCTCCCAGTTAGGAAATGGAGAGTCTTGCTCTACTTACTTGTGACAGTAGATACTTTATTCTAGATATCGTGACAAGGCTTCTCTTTTAGGATAGCTTATTTGTTTTCTATTTTGCTTTTATCGTTCGTTAGCAAACCAGGTCATCTAAGTTGTCTGTTTTTCTCAGACACAGAACATAAGTTTCATCTAGTTCTGGAACTTACAAAGCCCTAATAGAGACAGATGGGTCCTCTCATTCTTAGACAAGAGAGTTTTAAAAGAGATCTGCTATCTCCTTTAGTTTCTTGTGGCTCATCTACCTTGAAGGAGGTTTGCAAGGTGCCTCAGGAGACTGAACACTAGTTTGGTTATGTATGGGTTCTCTAGCTGAGTTCTTCTTTTGTTTTCCTAGCGTCTCACCACCTCCTGGGGGAAAGTGGTATTTCCCCTTTAGGCCAGCCTTGGAAGGGATAAGACCAAGACTGCCTGAAAGGCTCTTTCTTCCCTGGGATTTAGGGGAGGGTGTAGGATTGTCTTATAGAGGTGTTCCAAACTTTGCCTCTGTTAAAGCCTCATCTATTCTCATGTATTGAACCTGCTATTTTAAGTGTAATTTGTTCCTTTTTTTCCCATATGTACTTCCCAGTGGTATAGAACCTAATACTGAGCCCTGTTTATTTTTTCCTCTGATTTTCAGGTTTATTTTTGAGTGCTTTACTTTTTCCTCTGTATTAGGTATTTGATATCCAGATTTTTTTTCCTCTATGCTTTTGAATGTCAGATTTGTTTCTTTAGCTCTCTAATTTTTATACTAAAACTGTTTTGGAATATTATGTTAAATAAGAATTCAGAGTCAAATGTCTAAGCAGTGGTAGGAAATGCTCTATATTAGTGGTGGTTCCGATGGCATTTAAATAAATCTAATATCTAAAAAAACAGCATGTACAGAGTACTGTCATCTAATGAAAAACAAATTACACTCTTCATTATCTTATCCTAGAATATGGCAGATCAATTATTAATGCTATTTTCATAATTAAGTTGAGAACATTATGGTATTTGAAGATTTGACGCAGATGAATTTGTGGTTTTGCATAAATATAATGCTGACATACCCATCTGTGGCAATTAGCACTGAAGCAAAACAACTTTCCTAATAGTCACGGCTTGTGGTTTAGTCAAAACCGTATCACAACATCTTTTTTCTGTTCTCTCTCTTCTTTGTGATTTTGGCGTATATTTTAGGAATGTACTTAAAACGTGAATAATTTTATTAGAGAAGAGTCCTATGTATGTATACTGTGTTTTCATTAGGTAAGTCTTTACTCATGTATCTCTAATTGCCCACCAGATAAATTCCAGACCCTTAAGCTTGGCATAAGTGACTCCATCTTAGCTGTGCAGTGATGTCTCAGCAGGCCTTCACTTTTAAATGGCTTGGTTGAGACATAGTTCATATGCCATACAGTTCACCCATTTAAAGTGTACAGTGGTTTTGAGTGTTTTCACAGACCTGTGCAACCATCACCACAATCAATTTTAGAACATTATCATCACCCCAAGAAGAAACCCTGTACCTGCTAGCAGTCACTCCCCACTTTTCCCAACCTTTCCAGCCTTTGGGAACTACTAGTCTATTTTCTATCTCTATGGATTTGCTTATTCTGGACATTTCATGTAAATGAAATTATATACTGTGTAGCCTTTTGTGACTGACTTCTTTCACATAGTATAATGTTTTCAAGGTTCATCCATATTGTAGCATGTATCAGTACTTTATTCCTTTTTATTGCTGAGTAGTATTCCATTGTGTGGGTATATATCACATTTTGTTTATTCATTCATCAGTTGATGGACATTTGGGTTATTTCCACTCAGTCCTTCACTTTTTGAAGCAGTTGTGCTGGCCTTTTCACTGTTACTCAGATACATCGTGCTCATCCTTAACTGTTGACTTTTCCCCATCCTGGCATATCTTTCATTATACCTATCCAGCATTTTCCATCCCCAGCATCCAGCTGTAATCTTGCATCTTTCATAAGGCTTTTTCTGATTGCTGAAACCACATGGATCCCAGGCTTCTCTAGGCTCTCATATCACTTAGTGGCTGTATCCCTCAAGTAGTAAATAATCACTACCTTGTGTTCCTTAACTTGTGTGTGTGTACATTTTCTTTAATAGATTGTTAGCTCTTGGAGGGCAAGCCATATATTGTGTTGTTGCTGTTTTGGTTCTTTCTTGTCTTGTGCTGTGATATATATACCTCTTAATGGAATAAAGTATATTTGTTTATTTTAAGATGACCAAAATGCCAGATGAATTAAGCAACTTCTGATTTTTTTTGTATCATAGGTAGTAGAATCAGACAGATTTAGGTTATATGCTACTCTACCATTTATTATCTGTGGGACCATGGGCAAGTTACTTGTGCCCTGGTTTTCTCACCTGTGAAATGGAAATAATTCCTGTTTGCCAAGGTTGTTATATTATGTGTAGAGCCCCTGACACAGAATAGGTACCTAGTAAATATTAATTCCCTTCTGTCTCCTTTCTCTGGTCCCTACTTCCTTGCTATTTAGGTGCTCAAGGTACATTTCAAACTTTAAAGATGATAGCAGTATTAATTTTGCCTTCCAATAATTTAATAAAGCAGCAGGCAAGTAATATATATCAACTGAAGTTTGTGGTAGATATCTATTAACTTCCTTTGCTAATAGTATTTATTAGAAACCAGATCTTCACAAATTACAGTTTTTAAACTGAATGGTAATAAAGTCAGCCTGTTTTACAGATTTATATTTTCTTACCAAATTACTTATATTAAGCAATATTTGCTATTTATGTTATTCATTAAATGTGTTGATTGGTTAAGGCACCTAACCTAACTTTTTTTTTTTTTTTTTTGGTCAAGAGGGTTAGCCCTGAGCTACCATCTGTTGCCAGTCCTCCTCTTTTTTTTTTTGGCTGAGGAAGATTGGCCCTGAGCTAATAACTGTGCCCATCTTCCTCTACTTTATATGTGGGATGCCTGCCAGAGCATGGCTTGATAAGCGATGTGTATGTCCACGCCTGGGATCTGAACCTGCGAATCCCGGGCCGCCAAAGTGGAGTGCGCAAACTTAACCACTACACCACCGGGCTGGCCCCTCCTAACCTAACTTTTATGTTGCGTACTTTTACAGTCACTTTTAAACTCTTTGTCACTTTGCGCTGTGAGTTTTAAAACATTTTGCACTTTGCCTTCCAAGGACACTTGAATAAAGTACATCTTTGATTAGGAACTTTTCCCTTTTCTTTCTTTTTTTTTTTTTTAGGAGTAAGTGCTCCCCCTAGTGATATCACAGAGTGAGATTTCTGCAGCCAAATCTGGAAATCAACAAAAGTGCTGTAAACTGTGGCTATTGCTCAGTTTCATTCTTGCATTGAAGATGAGAGCAGGGTAGCAGTGAGGTAGTGAGGAAGAGCTCCAATGGCTAGCTTTGCTAGCTGGCTTTTGATTG